TCACTAACTCCATTTAAAACCCCAAAACCCCAAAACCCCGAAAGAGATGTTTTAACTGATGAATCAGTAGCTGATTGAAAATATAGTTTTATAGGATTTAAATGAAGTTAGTGAAATTATTAATAAAACATGAATGTTAGAGCCCTCAAGGGCGTGCAAGGAAAAAGCTCATTTAACATGTGGCACAATGGATAGGAACGCCGAACTACCACAGATAGTCAGACTGCAACAACTTATGAAGGGATCAGGGATTATCAAACCAAGGATTCAAATACTGGTGAATATTAAGATGCGATGAGCAATACTAAATCATAAAATAAGAAGTTTAAGTAAGTTCTTGCATATTTTCGGAATAATTAAGCAGCCATTATATTTGTATTTCCACCATTAAAAAACAATCATTAATCTTTAACCTGTGATATTTATTAACCATTCTAAAGTGATTAAAGTAAGACTAATGTTGATGTCAAGAGCATAGTATCAGCTGAGTTCAAACCAGAATCAAATATTATAAATTTGACTTTGAGTTTACCAAGAAATAAGGAACTGCAGCCTGACATCAAGGAAAATCCAAGTGTCAAATATAACATCGTCAAGTAAGTAAAATTCTTCTAAATATCTAAAATTATCGAGGTCTTGCAAGTATGACATTCTTTACAAGATATCAAATTTTAATAGCTATTTTTATATATCTATCAGTTTATTTGTTTATTTTCTATCATTCATTGAAACTATAGGACAATATGCAACACAAACAATAGTTTTTTGCCCAACTTTTCTATGAATCCGAGCATCAATTCTTCTTGGAAGAAGCATTTACTGCTTAATGATGTTTAACAACAATCACAGACTCCACAGATAGAAAAGACCAAGCAGTTGAAGATGGAAATGAAAGACCTAAGAAAGCTCAGTTCTATCAAAAAGGATCAACCACGTATAATTAATCTAATTAGGGATACTCTAAATTAAACTAATCAAACTCTCTAAAAGAGGATATACCTATATTCTGAAGATAACTAGTAATTTGAGAATTACTTCCAAAGGTTACAGAGACAACTGATGAACTGATCAAAAATACATATGAATGACGAGGACATCAGCAATCTAAATATAGGTTAATTTGCTAAATAGATAAAGCCATCAACATTATACTATAAAAATAAAAGAGTCAACATTTTTATGATGAGTGGAGGACTAAGATACGGTATAAACTAGCAAAGATCATACTCACTTAACGATTTGACCGCTCGCACAAATATGCTTCTTTAAGAGGGTGATGAGGAGTTTGAAAAAGTGAATTAGAGACTGTCCCCTTCACTTTCAAGACTAGATATTAAAATATAGGAGTCGTTTGCCAGACTAAAGGAATAGATAGAGTGTATCGATTCCTCACAAAAGCAAAATCAAGCCGAGGAAGAAAAGGAAGCAGAAATATATCCACCTCTTATTACTAGTTAAGATAGAGAAATAATAATGAGTTAGACTACTTTCGGACTAGGTTAGCTTTTAAAAAACCTAGAATAGACAACTGTAGTTTAACATGATCCATCATTACAGAATCCATCACAATAGGAGCATTATATAAACTAGCTGAGCAACATTTAGATTCAGAATACAAAGCCGATAATTTAGACATTAATTAAAGCTAAGAATTAGCAGTCACGCACTAACACGTCGCCAACAAAAGCCTATCCTAAGGCAGCAACTCAAAATCTGCAATTGAGAGATTTTTTGGATTGTAGGCAAATGATGGTTAGTCTTAAAAAATCGAGCGTACAGTATCATTAGAAGTTAACTGGAAGAAAGCGAAGATCACCACTCATTGATTCAAAGCATGATCTTGTACATATGCAGAACAGTCTCGAAACTGTTGCTAACTCCTCAATATCTCCAGGCTCATTCAGGCAGTAAAACTTAAATCTAAAGTCAATTTATAAAAGCAGACATAATTCTAATGTTAATAATACTCCAACATTGAAAATAATAAGACTTAGAGAGAGCAATAACTCAAAAATAACTGCAAGGCTTTCTCGGGAAATGATATAAACAGATGAAGGTAATTCAGCTCACAGATATGAGATCTATGAGAACAGCATTATTTAAAACCCTCCAGTAGAATACCAAAAGCCTGCTTCTATCAGGGAAATATCAGTTTTAAGGCCAGCCAGTCACATGCGAAGCAGTATCATGAGTAAACGACAATCTGCTTCTGGTATAAATCATGAGAGTAGTATGAATTCAAACAGAATAGGAGTGGGAGCCAAAACAGTTTAATACGACGATGGCTCCTTAGACTATTAAAATGGGAGAGATAAATCCTCTCAAAGCAGGTATTATAGCAACGGAGATAATAAAAGTGCTTTGAAAGATGTGTAGCTTTAAGTAGAAATAAAAACTAATACCACTGATACTTTATGAAGTGATAGTGAGAAGTAATCCTCCAGATTTAACATTGAAATGCTTAAAAATAGCAAAGCTGTAAATAAACTAGACCTCTTGATGAAAAGACAAGCAGAGATTAGGAATAAAAGATCAGCTCTGTTCACAGCTCTACAGAACATTAGACAATTCGACTTCAGCATGAATGAAACCCCTATGAGAGGATCAAAGTACTAATCTACGCTTAATTCACCATCTGGATTGATAAACTACAATAATTCTTAGAAGTACAGGTAGATCCTGTAAAATATAACATAGAGATTCCGATCATAGAGACCTTCGATGGAAAATTAAATAATCTAGGGAAAACTTATAAAACCAATAAAACAACTTTACTCTGAGAAAATGTAAGAATTGAAACAGCTAAAAAAATTGGAGGACCAGAATAAATATGTTTCATTTTCAAATCATGAGACACACACTAATCATAACCATAAGTAAGGCTCGGAGAACTCGGCGAACGCCTCAAATTATATGAGAATCATGAGTAAATATCAAAGCCTGATACCATCATCAACTCCAACAAACAAACAGCACAGCAGATTGAATTCTGATATTGGGATGGACTAACAAAATGGCCTAAGTGACCATAATAGCAAGTATTTAACAAAGAAGCTAAATAACTCAAACTTTTATCAATAATTCTAGAAAGATTTATCTAATCAAAGGAAGCTTAATATGAGGAATCAAACAGAGCGCATTAATCATGGAGCTATTGAATAAATTACAGTTGGTAGAGCAACTAGACTTAGAGATAAAAATGGTGGCAAATATGTTTTGAGCAAGTTAAAAATCTAGGTAAGTTCTGACACACAGACTTTCTCGTAATTGAACGACTAAAGCAATAATAATCTTGGCACACCAATGTCAAATGACAGAGGAAATGCTAAGAGTAAAATGCATAATATGACTTTGACAGATGATTTCAATCATACACTTACCAATCAGAATGATGGACTGCCTGCTGCAATAACTCAATCACCAATAATTACATTCAAAAGACCATCAAGAATAGATTCATCAACTCAGAGGAGACTTATAATAGAAAGAACTATTAGAACTAACGAGAAACTAGATTCTAATAAGTTATCATCTAGAGTAAAAGAGCGCATTTTCTTTGGTGATGATCTCAACTAAATTTTTCCTGTCAAACTTTCAGATTGAATAGTAAATAAGTTTGCTTCTTATCTTAATCATGAATGCTACGATTGATTTTAATTATAGATATAATTTGAATTGCAAGTTATTTTAATAATAGTTTCATTTTTAGACTTTTCACTAGACTTTCGATCTTCAACTTAAGGGGTTTTGGGGTTTTGGGG